AAATACCTGGAGATTTTTTTGGTAGAACCTGAGTTGGGTGGAGTTTAGGAAGGGAAGGGACGTCAGTGCCAGAGAATCCACCTTCCAAAGCAGCCATTTTCTTTAGATGAACTGATCTCTGTCACCTGGAGATCAGACATAATAGTGGGAGATCTCCAGCTACCACCTGGAGGTTGGCAACCCCGTGCATTACAACAACAGATATGGTTTAACTTTTGCATACAATCAGTGCAATACTATGAACACTTTCCTGGGAAGCTCCATTGAAGAAAAAGGGATTTACTTCTTAATTGGAGCTGCGGTGGCTCAAGTGGTTAAGATGCTGAACTGCAGGCTGTGGAAGGTCAATAGTTCAGCAGTTCGAGACCTGAGTTGCCGCATGATGGAGTGAGCTCCCATCTCTAATTCCAGCTCCTGCCAACCTAGCAGTTTGAAAGCAAGAAATTGCAAGTAGATAAATAGGGACCACTTCGGTGGGAAGATAACAGCGTTCTGTGCGCCTTGGTGTTTAGTCATGCCGGCCACATGACCACGGAAACGTCCTCGGACAGCGCTGGCTCTTCGGCTTTGAAACGGAGATGAGCACTGCAACCCTAGAGTCGGACTCGACTGGCTTTCGAGCAAGGGAACCTTTACCTTTACTTTAGACCTGCTTAGGATCGTTCTCTATGTATCCTAATATTGCTCCCAGACGCACAAGTGCCATTCAGACTATCACTACACAACAGATTTATTGCTGATGTTGCTAATGGAAGAGCCCTGGTACTGTGCTTATGTCGGCCTACTATATGAAATGTCACATCATGCTGAATGACTGATATGTCCAGGACATTCTTTTAATTCTTAATAAATTCTTTTTAAAAGGCAAGGCATGAGGAAACTTACAAACTTTCCCCTGCTAAATTTCACTGGAAAGGAGAACAGAGGATGTGATGGTGAAGGGTGGTGGGGCAAACTACAAGGACACCTATGAGGTGGCATCTAGTGAAACTTAAATTAAGAAAAACATAATCTGTGAAATATGATAATGTGCATTCACTGAAATAGAGAAGGAATTCCAAGTGATAATAAAACACTTTAAACGAATCTGTCATCTCAGCCGAACATGAGAACGTACCAGCTAATTGCATAAAGAGATTGCAGTGGTGAGTGAAGGAATAGCGAAAGAAAGGTTTGACAAATGCTCAAATTATTAGGTTATTTTTATTTAAAATATTATGCTTCCTCTTAGCAGTAGTTTCCCAGATGGTTCATATAAACTTGTGACTAATAAATCATTAAAAATTAAAGGAAAATTAACTATTCCAAAAGGCCAGAAACCTGGATTTGATCAGCTGCATCATACGAGGGACTGAATTTATGTCAGATAATGAGAATTTGGAACTTCAGGTCTAACGACTGGATTCAGACTAAATTTCCCACGAGAAGGAGTGGAGTAATTTCCACCAATCCTGCCCTCTTTCTGCAGGCTCCTGATTTGCCTCTTATGTTGTTTCTGAGGGTCCCCTGCCCCCCAGGAGCAGCTTTACGGGGAGATCACAGGCCTGCAAATTCTTGTTTAGTTTTCCTCACAAAGTGTGTTTTCTTTAAATTATACTCCGATGTCTATTAAGTATATGTATGTATATGTACTTATATTTAAATGAATCAAAATATACAGATGAGTAATGTGCTATTTATTTCCTCTTGAAGAAGTGGTTGCTCTAATTTGTTTCTCTTTCATCTGAGACTAAGTGACCAAAATGTCACTTATAGTGGGGTTTTTTTCATACTGTGAAGAGGACATTGTAATATTATATGAACCCTTGATCTTTTTTCATTTTTTTGGACTGTGTTAAACTCCAGTTGTAGGTTCAAAAGATTTCTCAAGTGGATTGGAGGGAGTATAGCCTTCCCTGCTCCACTCCTATTTCCCCCATGCACCTACATTTTCCTGTTTCCCTTGCTTCCCTCTTCCTTTGTACATACACCATTAAAGCCCCATATAGGCTATGATTTCTCTCGAGCGGCTTCCATTTTTGTTTGATACTATGGTGCAAGCCCTGATCCAGAATCCATAGTGTGATAACTATAAAAATGTTTATTCAAGGAGTTTTTGCTCTAGTCAGTTTCACTCTGAAAGAAAATGTAGAAAAAAGACATTACTGGAAAGGAGTGGTAGCTGTACTTTTGTCCTTTTAAAAAGGCTACATGTCATGAATTCTGATGCAGATATACACCAATAGTTCCACAGACTAAACATTTCTAATTTTAAAAAATGCCGTCCAGACAATGGGGTAGGTAGTGGGGAGGAGGAACCTGTTTCTCCTCATGAGCTTGATCCAATAAGCCCCCATGAGAGTGACAGTTTTAAGACTTTTTGCTATACACATATTGTACTAAAATGAATTGTAGAGTGCAGGCCAGGCCGTGTGTGTGTGTGTGTGTGTGTGTGTGTGTGTGTGTGTGTGAGAGAGAGAGAGAGAGAGAGAGAGAGAGAGAGAGAGAGAGAGAGAGAGAAGTTTTAAGTTTCTACCAAATTCATTTTTGAGAGACTTTTGACAGAAATGATGGCAAAGTAAAACAAAACAAGTAATGTATATACTGGGAGCAATGATAGCTTTTCATCACTGCCTAGAAGTCAAAGCTGTTGTGTGTATACAGACTAAAGCCATTTAATATTTATCCAGCAACAGCACTGTGCTAGATCTTGTGCAAAGCATAGAAATCATGGTCCCCAATCAAATGACAATCTACAATTCTGGGTCACTCTTTCATAAGGTTGCTGGTGGATCCCCCTGGCCACCGGCGGGGAATGGGGGACATAGGGTGGCCAGATTCATTGGGAAAATTCAGGAAGATTTGGGGATGGAGCCTGGGGAGGACAGAGACCTTAGTGGGGTACAATGCCAACCCTCCAGAGTCAACCCTACAAAGCATCCATTTTCTCTAGGAGAACTGATCTGTGTAGTCTGGAGATGAGCTGTAATTCCAGGGGACTATAGGTCCCGCCTGGAGGCTGGCATCTTGACTCTTTCACAAGCAACTTTCTGCCATTTTAGCCATCTTACATTTTAGATTGGGTTCTTTGTTGCTACTAGAAATTAAATTTGTTTCAACTGGGTTTACACATTGCAGCAAAAACAAATGAAGAGTTAAGTGGCGCTTAAGGAATGTGTTGTGGCACTAGAGACCAGATGCATACATATCAGATGCTTAAGTAAAGGTAAAGGTTCCCTTGCTCAAAAGCCAGTCGAATCCGACGCTAGGGTTGCGGTGCTCATCTCTGTTTCAAAGCCGAAGAGCCAGCGCTGTCCGAAGACATTTCCGTGGTCATGCGGCCGGCATGACTAAACACCAAGGTGCACGGAACGCTGTTACCTTCCCACTGAAGTGGAACCTATTTATCTACTTGCAATTTCTTGCTTTCGAACTGCTAGGTTGGCAGGAGCTGGAACTAGAGACGGGAGCTCACTCCGTCATGCGGCACCCGGGTCTCGAACTGCTGAACTACCGACCTTCCACAGCCTGCAGTTCAGCGTCTTAACCACTCGAGCCACCGCAGCTCCCTATCAGATGCTTGCAGTATTATAATTATTGACATAGATTTACTGAAACTTTTAACGTGAAGACTTGCTAATTAACAATAACACTTCCTACCCTGTAGGTCCACAAAAACTTTTGCCACAATGAAGGTCCTAAGGCAGCCCAGCCTGTAGTTTTGAATAAGCTGTAGTTCTTTTTTTGACAAGAAGTTTAAAGTGCCCTCTTGTACTGAACAAGGTGACTTTGCTGATGAATCACTGGGATCAGGTATGTTTAACAAGTGATCTTTAGCCTACCCCGATTAACAGAGCATTCATTATATTTTTCATGTTCTGTCGGTGGAAAAACACACACACACCCCATATCTTTGCTTTACTTTGGGATATGAAAGTGCCTTCTGCTGAGCTAGAACATTTGTCCATGGAGCCCAGTAGTACCATCTTGGTAGACATGCTTAACTCATATTTGATGTAAGTTCATGTCTCAGGGAGCTGGGACTGGCTCCTGTGTGATCATATATAGAAAATGTGTATATACCACTGCTTTGAAAGAAAATGTTGTGCGGTTTATTGCTTCCCCTGGAGAAAATGGCATGTTTGGGAGGATATGCTGTTTCCAAGTATAGCTGCCACAAATCCTGAATTTCTCAATTGCTTACTGTGAGCTCTGCCAATTTTTATCCCTTGAGCAGGGAACAAAAACGGAGTTGCCAATTCCGGCTGGGGATACTCCTAGCAATCTGGGAGCAGAATGGGGTCGCCAGCCTCCAGGCGCTGCCTGCAGATTTCCCACCATTACAGCTGATCCCCAGACGGCAAAGACCAGTTCCCCTGGAGAAAATGGCTGCTTTGGTGGGTGGACTCTGTCATTATATGCCAATGTGGTCCTTCCTCCCAAACCGCACTTTCCTCAGGCTCTGCCCCAAAAATCTCCAGGTATTTCCCAACCCAGAACTGGCAATCCTAAAGAGCCTGGGACACATGGAGTTTGGAATGGGGAGACCAACGGGGCTGTGATGCCATAGTCTGCTCTACGCAATTGCCATTTCCTCCAGAAGAACTGAACTGTGTAGTTTGGAGATCACCTGTAATTTTGCGAGAACACCAGACCACACCTGAAGGCTTGTAACTTTATTGCCAACTCCGGCTGGGGAAATTCCTGGAGGGAATTTGAGGGAGTTCAGTGGGGACGCGATTCCACATAATCCACCCTTCGAAATTACGCTCTCCTCCGAGGGAGCTGATCCCTGTAATGTACAGATTAGTTGTAGCTACAGGTCGTACCAGGAGAGTAGGAAACCCAGTTAAAAAGTAACCTGGAAGTCCACTCTGCAAGCAAAAGACCTGCCACTCTAGCAATTTTTAGTTGTCTATGATTCCCGGAAATCTATCCCTTCCTGGCAACCCCTGCATCGGTGTCACGTGACTAACAGCAAAGGCTGCCGGGATCGGGGTTACCCGGTTCGCTGGGTTCTTCAGGCTCAACATGGTGGGTCTGGGCGGTCGCTGAGAGGCCGGTGGAGTGACCGTTGAGCGGGCGGTTGGCTGCGCCGAGGGTCCGAGTCTGCGGTCCTCGGGAGGGACTCGGCTCCAGCACTGAGGGAGGCGGAGGAAGGAGCGGGCCAGGCCGGGCGGGCGGCCCCTCGCTTGAGCTCGGCGGGTCGGGCCGCTCTGTCGGCCGGAGCGATGGCCCAGCGAGTGCAGTCGGTGCAGGAGTTTCTCCAAGACTCGTTCGTTCCTTTGGTGGCCGCGCTGTGTAGCGAGGAGGCGGAGAGGATCACGCGCAAGAACAACCTGGGCTTCTGCGAGTTGGTGAAGCCCTTCTGCCGCCTCACCTCCGAAGGTCGGTGTGTCAGCCGGCGGGAGCGGAACTGGGTTGTTTACATGACCGCAGAAAGGAAGGGCGGGGGGGGGGGGCAGAAGCCCTAGGAAAAAAAAGGGCAGAAGCCGTAGGCGCCCCCGGTGGGTGTGGGGCGTTGGTGGGGACTCGAAGGAAGGAAGGAAGGAGGCCACACGTTGCTCGTCCCCAGTGAGGCAGGAGATGGGGTGAGGAGGACGCCCGTGTTGACTCTCGGCTGAAGGTTTGATGATGAAGTCCAGCAGATGCTGCCCATCGAGGTTGTCTGCCAAGTTCTATCTTCTGGGCAAGCCGGGTGACTGGCTCGCGTGAGCAATGCGATCTTGTTTACTGTGGAGGAGTATTGCATCTTACTTTGTCACTTAAAATATTTTCTCTGATGATCTTTGAAGCATTGGCTTCAAGAAAACCCATTTCCCTGATCGCTAATCTGTATAGAGCTACCGGCAACATAATAAACCAAGGGAGATACATTTGACAACAGTGGACTCCACTGTTCTGATCGGCTTGATAGGCCATGTTTCCCTGAGCTGAAAATACAACCCAGTTTCAGAATGTGAAGTGTGTGGAAGCACTGTTCTCTCCTGACTTCTGCACTTGCACAGCTTAAATTTTTGAGAGAATGTTCTGCAAGCCTTGGCCCATATTAAAGTATTTTAACATGAGAAATGTGAATGATATTATGAATGGCACCTATAAATGGTAACCTTAATGGTGCCAGTTAGGGACTGTTGGCATATGCAGATGAGCCTGCCATGTGACTTCAGCTGCTTTGCAGAATTACAATATTTTGTGGTTCTCTTAAACCTTTACTCTAGGCTAGCATGTATGTAATCCCAGAGAAATGTCTTCTGCATAGGTAATATTTGCAGGAACTATAAATGGCTGGATTCTGGCTGATGCATCCTTGGAAGACACGTCTAGGCCACTTTTTCCAATTAGTAATCTATTACAAATTTCAAGCAAATGTTATTTGTGGTTTGCTTCATAGCAGTCATAAAATGTTGTATTTTGGTTCTCTAAATTTATAGTGCAATCCTCAGTAGAGCATCAAAACACTGCAATTTGATTGTTTAGATTTACAGTGCAATCCTAAACAGTCTTAAACCATTCTAATAGACTTAAAAGGGTGTAATTCTGTTTAGGACTGCAGTATTAGTTTACTGATGTATATTACTTTTATTGAACAGATGTCTTGTCATCATAACATATAGTTCAAGTTTGCCTTTATTGGCATAAATTGTCAATAAAATATAGGCTTTTTCTAGACGTCTGTGAATCTTAGTTATATGTATGTTAAAAACACATACTTCACAGCAGAGAACTTGTGTGTGTGTTAAAGTTGCTCCAAGTAAATTTATTTAGAGTAGTAGTTTAACTGTGAATGTGCTACACAGTGTGTAAATGTGTATTCCTGCACACACAGACTTTCATCAAAAAGAGAACACAGACAGTTCCCATATCACTCTGAGAATATAAATCTCCTGATAGTTTTTTTTTTAATACTCCACACCGGCTTTTAATAATAATTTTGTATTGGGGTTCACCAGTAAAAATGCTTGAATGTGTGTGTTTTACATTACATTACAACTTTTTCTATCCATGAGGGCTCAGGGTAGGCAAGAACTAAGATGATTAGTACCCTGTAAACAAAATATTAATAAAATAAATTAAAATACTGCTTAAACAGTATAATGTAATTTAATGATTTAGTCCTAGGAGCTCAATGGGCTGCAGTCAAAAGAGAAAAAGTCCCATTCTGACCTTTGCATTGCTTATGGTTTGTTGGATGCAAGCTGTCAAATGCAGAAGATCATGGAGTTGAACCCTATAAATTTGTTCTTTAAATTGTGATACATTCTTCCAGTACAGAGAGCCTTCCCTTGACATGAGAGGCTCTTCCACCAGCAGAAAAGTACCATTGTAAGGAGATTGGATCAGTGGAATCCAGTCCAAGTTCCTGTAACAGTCTGTGACAAGAGATAAAGGAATATTGGATGGAGAGCTAAGCAAATATGCATCTTGTCAGTTTGTGTAGGGGAAGCTACTTGGAAACCCATTATTGTACATTGCTGAATTCCATGATAAAAGAAAGGCAAGATATTTAATGAAGAATCTTCAGGGAGAGGGGATGATCAAGTGATGTATAATATGTAGGTCAGTATGAGAGAGGCCAGTGGTGAGGTCTGTTAATAGGGAAAATAAGGCAGGGTAGTAGTGAAAGGGGGAGGAAAATGCCTTTTAGAATAATACTGTGGAACTTGTGGAAGAAATATTAATATTTGTAATGTATACAGATAATGTGAGTCTAGAAAATAGCAAAACAGTCCTCAGTTACCTATGTAAAGCCAATACCTGAAATTGTTTGCAAGTGGGAAATTCGAGGGATGGAACGTTTGGATGGTTCAGATGTTTTTTAACCAGATTTTTAAGTAACTAAGGCCCCGTTCATACGAGGCGTTTTGGGCCGGGAGTGGGCCGGATTGGAGACGGAGCAAACGGGTGCAATCCCACGCCAACTTCTGGCTGGCGTTGCGCTCTTGTCTCCGATCCGGCCCTTCCCCTGATGAGGCGCGTCAAAAGTGAACCACCTACCCGAGGCGGTTTATCCGGACGACACGCTGCAAGCCGGGCCGTTGGATCGCCGGCGCGTTTTTGCGCCGCCGCATCCCCGGCTCCTAGCTGAACTGCGCATGCTCCGACATGCGCAGTTTGGCAGGCTCCCCGTCAGGGCCGTGTTTTCTCCCCGACGTCTGATCGTGCCGGGGAGAAAAGGCGCCGCGGCCAGGGGATCCGTGGGATCCCGCCGCGGCGTCTCAACTTTGGCGCGGCTTTTAAAAGCTGCGCTTTTAGAGGCTTTTCCCCTGCCGTGTGGCAGGGGCCAATGTGTCAAATGACAAGTTGTTGTTATATGGTGTTATACGTAAATTGCAAAAAATTAAAAGCACCATTGTTAATGCCCTTGAAGGAGCTTATTTGCCCTTTTCACAAGAAATTTTTGTAACAGACAGGTATGGGTCAGTCCTTGATCAATTCTTTCTGCTGTTCTCCCAGATGTAGAAATAATGCCTACAATCCTGTATGCACAGAGGAGAGTGTTTAGTAGTTCCTACAGAAGTCTTGCATAACTCTTCTATGTCTTCCAAGCTCAGCTTTCTGCCATTAAACTAGGTATGCCTGATGTGTCCAGGAATTTCAAATCCAGCAGAGGCCTTCTGCTTCTCTCCTGGAGCTTCCAGCAGCCATGGCACATGTATCTGCTTCTCAGGAGTGTAATCTGTACGCTGGAGGCCTGAAAATAATGGACCTGTTGATATTGCTAGGTGAAATGCAGTAAGACTTCTGCCTGATTAAACTCGCTGAGGTACACTGAGGCCCACTTGGCCAGTGTGGTGGGTCTAGCATGGCAGTGGTTTGGCTGGTGAAAACAAGTTCTACCTGGCTTCTGTGATATCTGCTCTGTTCTCATGTGTGCTATGTTGCAGCCAGTGCTTTCACTAAGGAAATGGTAAGTCTGTTGTTTATGGGGCTTACAGAATCTTGGAAATGGCTCTGATTCTTCCAGGAAACCTTGTTTCCTGGCCAAATTCTCTGTTTGACTGTAGTTTAAGTGACTCTAGAATGCTGTGTTCGATTTTAGTTGGGCAACAACCAAAATAGCCTCTTTTTAACTTTCATGAGTAGAATTGCAGAAAGGATAAGCGTGTATATGGCAGACAACTAAATGTGCCATACAATTTTGACTTTCTGCAGCAGTTTCCAGTATTAAAAAGTTAAACCGTTGTTCTGTTTGCAAAGTGTATTGACTCTTTAGCAGTGAGATATCTTGGGTGGAACAAGCAAGTGAAGTTATGTCTGTGAAATTTTCTTCTGTGTTTGAATATCCTGTGTTTCATTCCAGGTTCAAAGCACGTAGCATTTTTCTATAACTGAGACCATTTAATTCTCACTCTGAATGTTTAATTTGTGGTGGTCTTTTCACTATTTTTAAACAATATAATCAACTGTAAGGTATTTCACCTGAAAATGATAAAAAGTTGCTTCAGAATATTCTAACACAACTTTGTTCTCATTATAGTGCACATGAGGGATCCCAACAACCAACTACACATAATCAAAAACTTGAAAATTGCTGTCAACAACATTATTACTCAGCCTCCTCAACCAGGAGCCATTCGGAAGCTTCTCAGTGATGTTGTGACTGTTAGTCAGCCTGCCGAAGGATTAGTAGCTAATGTGATTACTGCAGGAGATTATGATCTCAACATTAGTGGTATGTAGCCAGACTTACTGAAAAAGTATAAAAGCTAGTAAAGTTAATTTTAAATGGATGCTAAGCATGATTCAGTTTCACTTGTAGGTGACAAAGCTTGTCCTTTGAAATTCTTAAAAGTTGAATATTGCATGTTGTTGGTGTATATGATAAACAATGAAGTATACAACAAATTTTTAGCATACCGCTCTTGCTGTAACAATCTCTACTATGTTATAAACATACAAAAACTTTTCTATTTTTCCCACAACAGATCACTGCTTGTTCACAGTATTGCAATTCTCATTCTCATGTCTTTAAAGGCAGAGCTGCTGTTAAAAACGGCAGCATGTATTGAACTTTATCTCATCTCCCAAAAGCCTGTAGGTGTTTTAAAACTATTTGTATTGTGTCCTGGGGGATACAGTGGCTTGCACTACCCCCTACTGCTGCTCCTTCTTGTCCACTCTCTATATGTCAGCTTGTGGCAAAGGAGAGCATGTGGCAAAGGAGAGGAACTGCTACTACTGTATGCTTGTTTCACACCCTATCTCTAAGGCTGGACAAGGGGATCAGATTCCACCTGGGCCCAATCCTTATTTTCTTCAAAGTGGATGAGCATGTCCTTGTATGGGCTGTTGCTGCTTCTCTTCTTCTACTGCCTCATTGTTGCTGAGGAGAAGTAGCAGAAGTAGTCTGCTCATCTGCCTTTCATTCTGGTACTGTGATGGACATTGGCGAAAAGTCTTCAGATCTATATTTCCATAGGAAAATGTACAGAAATCCTCTTAAATGCAAGTTTTGCTCTCGTTGTCAAATATCTTTTTACATTCTTTGCTCTCTAGATTTTAAGGGCATCTGTGAACATCTGTAGAAATATAACTCTATACTGGCTGTTTTTGTTATATGTAAATGGAAATGTGCTGTATGTGAATATTGAAGAAATGAATTCTGTGCATATTACATTTGTTTATCTTGTTGTGCAGTAGCTATGTCTGTTAACTTATTGATATTCACCACACTGTCTTTATTCGTTATCACTAAGGTGAAACCAGTTTAAGCAAGTAGCGTTAGTTTGAGCATGGAATAACCCTCTGTATTTAGGTATACATCATGAGGTTTTGCTTGCTGGATAATGTGGGTTTTAGTACTTAAAAATCAAAGAAAAGATAGGCACACTCATGGCTATTCCTAGTTATATATGCCTAAAATTTCATAGTCCCATTAAAATTTTTACTGCCTGATCTTAAACATGTCCACTTAAAAGTAAATTCTGTTAAACTCAATGGGATTGACATGGATAGCCTTTTCAGTTGTCCCAGTATTTTATGGTATAGTTGTGCAGTCCCTGAATCATTGAAACAGCGAATTGTATTTGATTCAAGCAGAGAATGAAACATACTGATGGTGGTAGTCAGTTGAAAACTGCTGTGGCTCAGCCTTTAATGATGGACTCTCTTTTCTGCAATAAAATCTAGATTTAGAGCACACATGGATCTTCCTTCTACTGTATATGTACCAATCTGTGATTTTGCTGGAATATGTTAACTACAACTCCTGTTCCTGCAGTATTTCTCAAGAAAGTGTCAACATATTTCCCCCCTCCATAGATAGGGGTTAAAGCAGACAACATTTTAAGCACGTAAATGTGTAGAAAGTCATATGATGACAAAAGCTCAAAATCTGGGAGGCAATTAAATGGTCTAAGTTAGTGATTCTCAAACTTTTTGAAGTGGCACCACTTCTGAACTTGCGGAAGGTTCAAGACCAACTTGCAAAGTAACTCTCTACTTACCCCTCTCCAAGGTAAAAGTAATTTCACATCAGTTAATAATGAACAAGTTTATAATTTATTCTCTTGTTGATTTTCTACAATATATATATAGCACTATTGAGTAACAGGCTGTGTTTCACTGCCATTTCATTATGGAAACACAAACCCAAATTTGTCTTTGAGCTTTCCAGAGCCTCTTCTTCCAGTTCAGTACTTTCCTACTTCCTTGTGATCTATCTTCTAAGGAGTCACAACTCTCTTTAGCATCTTGACCCACAGTTTAAAAACCACTACAGAGTACCTGCAATATCAGATTTGTAAAAAGTGTTTATAATCCATGCCAGTAGAGGAAATTTCAATATACAGATTAAAGTTAGCAGCCTTGCTGATAGTCTTCAGAATCCTTTAATTGTTGCACTTGCTGTTAAACCAGTTGCTCATCTCTGCAACTTGGTCTGTCAGTTCCACAAAACATTAAATTCAAAGATCTGTTTTACAGCTTTCCCATAATTCTAAGGGAGTTATCAGGCTTGGTGTTTGTCATAAACTATTAGACTGAAATTGTCCCACCCATTATGGGTTGAAATGAAAGAGCTTTTCACTGAGCTTTGTTCTTGTGGCTTCTTAAATCCCCTCCTTGTGACATCCTTGATTCTTGTGCCACCCAAGCCATTGACCCTGAAACTGCAGTTGGCATTGAAAATGGCATCTAATCAAGTCAGGTTAAGCATTTTTAAATTCCAGTGATTTCAAGGGAAGCTTGCTTCTTTCTTCTCTTACCTTTGGCTGGGTTTGTGTCTGTTTAACTTGTTCTGAAGGCTACATGTTGGGGGAAGGGTGTAGAATGAGAGGCGATGAGCACATACATTTTGTGTGTTATTTTAAAGGAATTCTGGACTGTAGCCTATAAAACCACATGCTACTAATATAGTTCACTTTTGCATTTTACCCTTCTGAATTAAAGTGGTATTCATAACATTATCTAGTTTGTTAGACTGAGCAATACTGACTTGCCCCAAGCCATTGATTTAACTGTATGGCTGAAGATAGATAAGAATTTAGCCGCTATACTCTGGCCCCGGTCACACAGGCCGGATATCGCGGGGGGAGGCGTGGCTAATTGCCCCGGTGCAGTTTGATCCGCGATTATGTGATCAGACGCGCCGGTGGCACACCGCGGGTCCTTCCCTCCACGCCGGCGGGTAAACAAGGGACCAGAGGGGAATGCCGTGCGCCAGCGCGATCACACCACGGGCGTCTGGAGGCAGCTCATAGCAAACATTTACTAGTACCTTGGAGGTACTAGTTTTTTAATGCGCATTGTCGGCGGTAAGCCACGGGTGCACTCCACTTCCAAGATGTTGGGGTGTGATCGTGCACGGATAATCCGCTCACCATCCATGCCTCTCCCGCGGCAACTTTGCCATGTGACCGGGGCCTCAGTGTAATAAATTGATAGCCTAGGCTAACCCAGTCTCATCAGATGTCAGAAACTAAGCAGTGTCAGCCTTAGCTAGTGTTTGGATGGGAGACCTTCAAGAATACCATGGTGGTGATGCAGAGGTAGGCAAGGACAAACCACCTCTGAATGTCTCATGCCTTGAAAACCCCATGGAGTTGCCATAAGTCAGCTGTGGCTTGATGACACTTTCCACCACAAATATCTCAGACACAAGATTGTGCAGTTGATTTGAATGTAAGAATTGCATTAAAAGTAACTGGTGGTAGCGACCACTGACCAAAAAAAGAATGCTAAAGTATTGATTTCTTAGGAGAAAAGAACATACTGAGAACAGTTTTCGTTGTTCATTTTGATTAAGTCTTTTTGTTATAGTTGTGTAATTACTAGATCCAGGAGAAGTAAACTTTTGAGGTTAATTTTTCCTTCCTACTACAGATTTAATAGCTTTTTGAATGTGCTGTTGTTTCCTTGGAACTCATTGTGATAATGTACAACTTCTTCCTAGCTGATTTGTTTCTCTTTTTTGTCTGGGAACTTCTTCTGGACTAAAACAAACAAAAGACTTCTGAGAGAATATTAATGGTCATAAGTATTCTTTGGAAAAAAGCAAATAAATGAAAATGTTACCGGTGTATCTTCTGAAGTGAATGGTTTTAGGATGTAGTAAAATTGCTACTCAATAACAGCATAAAATCTAAAACATTAAGAGTGCAGTCCTAAACAGAGTTACATTTTTCTAAGCTCATTAATGTCAATGGACTTAGAAGAATGTAATTCTGTTTAGGATTGGACTGTCTGTGTTGTAGGGCTGTGTATGTTTTGGGGAAGGTGCAGTGAAATATCTACTGCCTACAATAAATGCTTAAAAATAGGTAATGTTACTGAATAAATTTACCACGTGCACCAGCTGTTTTTGGAGCTTTAAGGGTAACAGAACTGACATTTGGATGAGAAAGGGCAAAATGCATTGTGGATTTGTTACAAATGGAGTTGCTTTCCATTTGTTCATGTTTGGTCTAAAAGAGTGTGATTTTCAGAGAGGTCACAGAGAATTTGAGCAGGTGTCTTGAAATTCTCATCTCAAGTATATCTCACGAGCATGAGACAGGCTACCAAAATCTGAAAGAAGATTACATATATGTAGATTACCTGCTTAGTTTAATAATTCCATGTTTTCTCTGTCAGATCGCTCAGTTAAAGCTAGTGTTCCTTGGTACAGTAGTTGGAAAGACACACTGATGGGACTGAACACATCCACGTTTTATTCAGGTATTCTTTGTTGTGTGACTGGTGTGGGTTTCCTAAATTGCCCTCCACTATTCCTTTTTTAATGTAACCCATCTACCTTTCCTTACAATCCTTCTACACCGTAGCACTTTCCTTGAAATAGAGTTTCTTTCTCAAAATAAATATTGGTGGTGGCTGTATGGTTTGTCTTTTGTTGTTCGCACATCTCTATTCTTGATGTTAGTTTAAATCCTAGTGTGAGCATTGCTTATGTTAAAACACAGTTAACACAATTGTCTCTTTATTACAAGGTGATTTACGTGGTGAGCATGTTGAATTTTATTCTGTCTTTGTCTTCCAGAAATCCTTCCTTTGCCTTCTTTTAAGGAATTCTTGTGTGACAAGTAGTGTTAGAAAATTGTGGTGCTGGGGTGGCATAAAATTTCCTTAATTTTTTGTTTTGTTTTATTCTAGCTGGGTGATGATTTAAGATCTCAAGTTGTTTTATTTAACACGTTTTTGCTGTTTTAGGGTCTTTCAGTTCATATAATAGCAAATGAACTGTTGTTGCCTATTTGTTGCATGGAATTCAGACAACTTTAATCAAGGAAGCACGTATTCTCTTTTTGATGTATTCTGTTTTCCTAGCAGAAGCTGCCATATTATTGCTGAGGAAAGGCTTCTGTTACAAACAAGGCCATTGCACTTTTTTCCTTCTTGAGTGTGTTAGTATCAAGGCACTGGCTAGATAATGCTACTGACATCACTGGCGATGGATGATACATTAATCCTTTGTTGCCTTACCTCTCCATTTGGGTAGCACTCAGCCTGCAAAAGTAGCCTTTCATACAGTGCCTAACTCCTGTGGGCTCCATAAGTGACTCATCTGTAGGTAAATTCTGCGAAATGCTTTTCGTATAAGCAGCCACTCCAAGTATGAAGGCCAAGTTTGGAGACTGTGTGCCAGGAGTGAAACTAATGAGTTGGTTTCAATATACATGCATGCAATATTTTGAAAGGTATTTTCTTGAGGTGTATGTCTTCAAATATTCCCTTGAAAATTCAGCCTTACTTCATGATTAAACACATATATGTATGATTCTTGAGCAAGGGCAGTAAACATCTAGGAGCAAGGACAACTACACTGTAACTCACTTGAGGCTTGCCTTAGGAAAATGCTAACAAACCTTTGGTTGTGAAAGAAAAGATCAGGTAGTAAAGAAGTCCTGCAGCATCCTTTGCTGCAGCAGAGCTGTGATCTGAGCTAGAAGCATGTGCTTCCCCTTTCCCCCACAGTTTTGGTTTCTGTTAAAATATTTCATCAGTGTCTGCTACCTGGAAGATACAAGGGCTTCATCTCTGTCCAAACTAGAGATTTATAAAGTGAAATGTTGACAAAACCCACTCTGCCTCTAGTTTCTTATTGTTTCTTTTGAGTTGTATATGTGCATACCTTTGTATAATTGTTTAGTGCTAGTTTGCTATCTTCCTCTACATACTTTGCAAAGCAGTGCAGTATCTTCTAATTTACCTTGCTATCAAATATAGTACTTTTTCATAATTATGGTTTGGATCTCACTGAAAAGCTTGTGGTAGGAGTTGGTGAATTGGATCTTTCTCTGCCTTCCCTTGGATTGGTAAACTCTCATGAACAAAAGGCATCATGTTACAAGGGGCTGCAGTGAGGAGGAAGACTTGGTTGAAGTAATCTCATCTGCCAGTGGAAAAGGGGAGAAGGATACTATTTCACCCAATTTACCCCTCTTTGCTGCAGTTCTTCTGCTGTGATACTGCTTGTTTGTGAGGGTCTCCCATTCTCAGAGAAGATCTGTTGGACAAACAGCAGGCTTTTGGAGGCAGGTGGTAGAAGACTTACTCTACCAGTTAGTTGCCAACCCAAAGTGCTAAGTAGTGTAGCCATTGGACAATCTTGTTTTGCACTGTTTGGTTTCAATGAAATGTGTACTATCTTTGCACTGTGTCAGAGCAGGTTCATGAAAAAGACACATCTCCTGTGAAAAGTAAGATGTGAGACAGAAGGAATGGTGGGACTGGTTAACAGTACAGTGATTGGCAGTTCAGTCCGTAGTGGGCACTGGGTCAGCTCTTCTCATCTTCCTTCATTGGAAAGATGAAGTATGCCCCCCTCATATCTCAGTAATTTGGTCGTGTTTTATAAGCTGTTCTCACTATACAAATTAGCCTACATAATCACTGTGTTGTAGAGTACAAGAACGTTCAAAGTAATTCCGTGGTCTAAAGTTAAGGTCCCAGCCACCCTTGCATTTTTATACCACAGTAGCTATAAAACTGGGACTGAAGCATAGTAGCAGTTACTCATGTATTGTAAGCATTTCTTATGTATTAAAATTTGTTCAGCAGTTACCTGCACTAGCATGCCCTCCCACCGTCCCCAGTTACTGTAGTTCATATTGTCTGAAGTCATAATATTTGGCTTATTCAACAAGAATGAGAAACACTTCCTTTGTTCCTGACTGGATATCTGGGAAATGGCAAAAGGAAAGAGTATAGTACTACTGAATCATTCTTTCATTTCCATAAAGGCTTCCCCTCTTTCCTTTCTCTAGGTTGCTGCCTCGTTCCATTCTACTATGAGCTTGTTGTTCATATCCAATAAAAATTTAATGCTGTTGTATTTTTAAAATAGATATTATTAGCTTTACAAACCTTATCTTTATAGAAATGTGACTTGAATGTGAAAGGGATAAAGCAAGCCCCCCACCATCACTTCTTCATATCCCTTTCTTAAAGCAGCCATTGGGCTTTTGTTGCAGAAGTGTGTGTGTAGTTCTATCCTAACAAAATGTATTCCATTTTCATTGTCATGTTCTTGTGAATGTATTCTGTTATAGATGGAGAAGGGAGAAGTGTAATTTACCATTGTTTATTTGTCTGACCATAAAGGCAAACATAAATATGACTGAATTATGTTTTAGTATAGAGCTATTTCATTTTCATTTGTGTTCTTGAGAAATCCTAGGGTGTGGGAGAAGTCCATTTATGTGTTCATAACAATATTGCTTCCAGATTCTCAGCAACATGTATAGATCCTTCAAAGACCACGATTTTTATAAAGGATGCTGGAACATCTGCTAGTTTGGCTCACATCCTATTTGCCAGTGGCAATCAAGCAGTGATCAAGATTAATCATTGGGCAGTTTGATGGTTCCCAACATGTTCTTGTTTATTTGCAGGAACAGGCTAATTGCAGCCTTCACAGTTGAGAATCAGGTTATCATCCTTTGCTGGGGACATTTTCTCTGTACCAAGCAGAGGTGTAGGGGGAGGGGCAGCTGGAAGTCAGTCTTCTTATTTCCCATTTTGGAAATATTGCTGCATCCCAGACTTGCTGCGATGCAGGAGGTTGGGGAAGGGTTATCAGAGACCCAGCTGATTCCCCTTCTCACCACAAATTGTCAGCTTAGGCTGTAAAAAAGAGAGGATCAGATGGCTCCTGTTTTCCACAGGCCAAGCTCTCAGTTTGAGATGAATGTGTGAAACAAATAACTTCACAGGCTGTTGGCTTAGTCTGCAGAGAAAAGGAGACAATTTTTCTCCCGTTCTATTAGCAATGAGGAGCTCAGAAGCATTGCATCTGTCCCCCCCCCCCCAACCGAGAGGGGAATGAAGACTACCAATCTCTTTCCTCTCCCTTCTTTCCACCCCAGCTGGGTGGGTGAGTGAATCAATCTTCTCCTCTTAGCAGTTGTGTAACAGTTTTAGGGGTGTGATTTTTTGTGTGTTTATGGATTGGAAGTCCATTCCCAGTTTATCCCCCATCAGCTGTGAGTCATCTTCTGATCTTCTCTCCCTTCAAAACACCTTTTCTCTGGCCCAGCACAACCAGGCTAGGATGCAGGGAAGTCCTGAGAGATCAGAACCTGATCCCTAATCAACTGTAAATTAGTTTCTGACCAACAGGCAGTTGCAAACATGTATGAGAGACTGCCAAATAGTTTTAATGTGAAATTGAATTAACCTAATTTCTATTAAAGTTAGTGATTAGCATAAAAAAAGTTGTGTTCATGAAAATGTGATATTGCATATGCTCCTCAGATAGCTGAGATATAAGGAACTTGTCACTTAGCCCTGTCCTTGTCCTGGTGCTGCATTACATCTGCTTATTCTCTGTAGCAGTCAATCAGTTTGCATAAACCCCAAAAATACACACACATTTGAAAAATACATTATTTGTTTTTATGCTGTATATTGGTTTGTAAACAGCAAGTCTGTTTACAGCAGGCATCAGAGCTGTGGAAAGAGAGTTGAACTAAGATCCTGGGATACCCAGATTCACATCTCCGTTTTCTACAATGCTGGGTGACCTTAGGCCTTCACTTATGTCACAGGGTGGTGGTTGTGAGAAAATGGAGGAAGGAAGACCAATGTTCTCAACTGATTTAAGTCCCAACTGGGGAGAAAAGTGCAATATAAATAAATAAATGAAAATGTATATAAGGTGAGCTGTATACAAACTGAAGAATGCAGGGCATATGAAGGAAGGAGGAACTGTCAGTCCAGAGTAAGTAAGGAAATGGTTAGAGAGCATCTAGCTGCCTTAAATACTTTCAAATCTCCAGGGCTGGATGGCTTGCATCCCAGGTGCTAAAAGAAATTGCAGATGTTATTTCAGAGCCTCTGGCTCTAATCTTTGAGATGTCCTGGAGTACTGGTGTTGTGCCGGAAGACTGGAGAAGAGCTAATGCTGTCCCAATCTTCAAGAAGGGAAAAAAGACGGACCCAAGAAATTACAGGCCTGTCAGTTTGACATCAATACCTGGGAAAATTCTAGAGCAGGTTATTAAACGCTCTGTCTGTGAGCACCTTGAACGGAATGAGGTAATTGGTAGTATCCAGCATGGGTTTATCAAGAATAAGACATGCCAGACCAACTGTATGTCCTTTTATGACAGTTACTAAAATGGTTGACTCTGGCCATGCTGTGGATATAGTGTATCTAGATTTCAGTAAAGCATTTGACAAAATTTCTCATGATATCCTTGAGGATAAGCTGGTTAAGTGTGGACTGGATGGTGCAACCGTTGGATGGATTCATGGGAGGTTGAAAAATCGTACCCAACGAGTGCTCGTAAATGGCTCTGCGTCTACGTGGAGGGAAGTCTCGAGTGGAGTGCCGCAGGGCTTGGTCCTAGGCCCGGTGTTGTTCAATGTTTTTATAAATGACCTGGAGGAAGACATAGAGGGGATGCTTATCTAATTTGCAGATGACACGAAGCTGGGTGGGATTGCTAATTCTGAAGAAGGCAGAGTCAGGATTCAAAATGATCTAGATAGGCTGGCAGTCCCCAGTGTACCCTCTAAGCTGAGTTAGTGTGAGCTAGCTCACAGTTTTTTAGCCTCTGGCTCACACATTTTTGTCTGAGCTCAGGCAGGATGGCTCCAGAGCAAACTAATTTATGCAGTAGCCAAATTGCTGGCTCAAGACTTTAATGCCAGTAATTCATAAAGTAGAATTTTTGCTCACAGGACTCCACAGCTTAGAGGGAGTATTGGCTGGAACAGTGGGCTGAGACAAATAAAATGAATTTCAATAGGGAGAAGTGCAAACTCTTAGGTACACTTAGGTACAAAAAAATCAAAGGCACAGATATAGAATGGGAGGGACTTAGTTTGACGGAAGCACATGTGAAAGGGATCTGGGTGTTCTGGTTGATCACAAGCTAAACATGAGCCTGCAGTGCGATGTGGCTGTGAAGAAAGCTAATGCAATCTTAGGATGCATTAACAGAAGCACTGTGTCCAGATCACGGGATGTGGTAGTTCCGCTCTATTCTGCTATGGTCATGCCTCACCTGGAGTACTGTGTCCAGTTTTGGGCACCACATTTTAGGAAGGATGTTGACAAGCTCGAGCGTGTGCAGAAGAGGGCAACCAGGATGGTGAGAGGGTTGGAATCCAAGTCTTATGAGGAAAGGCTGAAAGAGTTGGGTATGTTTAGCCTGGGAAAGAGAAGGCTTAGAGGGGACATGATTGCAGTCTTCAAGTATCTGAAGGGCTGTCATGTAGAAGATGGAGCAGATCTATTCTCTCTTGCTCTGGATTGCAAGAATAGATCTAATGGGTGGAAATTACAAGGGAGTCGTTACCGGCTAAATATCAGGAAAACTTCCTAACTGTAAGAGTGGTTGAGCAGTGTAACAGTCTGCCTCAGGAGGTGGTGGATGCTCCTTCGCTGGATGTTTTCAAGTGGAGGCTGGATGACCATCCTTCGGGTATGCTGTAGGGCTATCTTTTGGCTATGCTCCTGCAGAGTGCAGGGGGTTGGACTAGATGACCTGCAAGGTCCCTTCCAACGCTAACATTCTATTATTCTATGATTCTATGACTGTGTAATAAATGCAAGGAGTAACAAAGACATGCCAAAACTTCTTTCTTAATGACAACCTCTTTATATTTACAAGTATGTAGCCAGAGTTTTGATTAACATTTGCTCTGCCCTCACGTTCTCTGCTTCCCTTGAGTTTACATAAAGTAGCTCCTCATACTTAGATGTTTTGTGTTTTACCCTGATCACTTGGATCTTCTGGTTTAGACACAATAATATATTGAACGTGAACATTCTGCAGCCATATTGTAATGTCCTTGTAAAGATCTGTGTTGCAGAGTCACATGTTCTCTATATTTCACAAAGAACATTGCAGATCTAGAAGAAGGGCAAAAGAAGGTGACCAAGATAACTAAGGGGTTTGAGCACCTTTAAAGAGTCTGGGACTTTTCATTGTAAGAGAAAAAATTACTAAGGGGGGGACATGATAGAGATTTATAAAATTATGCATGGGGCAGAGAATAGAGAACTTTACCCCCCCCCCAATAATAATAATTAGAACCAGAAGGCAACCAATGAAATTGATGAACAGCGAATTTAGAGTGGAGAAAAGGAAATGCTTATTTACCCAACAAGGGATTATAATGTGGAATTCACTGTCAGTGGACATAGTAGTGGCCATGAACATCGATAGCTTTAAAGGAGGATTAGACAAATTCATGGACAACAAGTCCACCAGTGACTACTAGCCATGGTGATTAAAGGAAAACTCCACACTCAGAGGCAGTAAACCTCTGAATACCAGTGCCGGGGGGCAGCACTAGGTAAATATCTTGGCCTTTGTTGTTGGCCCTCCATGGTAACTGTTTGGCCACTGTGTGATATGGGATGTTGGACTTGGTAGGCCACTGGATGGATTTTGCAGGGCTCTTGTATTTTTATGCAGCATTGCAGCAGCTCAATCAGTATCAAAGAGGTTAACGTCAGCCAGATTTAGCAGTGTTTCCCAGTGCACATTCAAATAAAGCTTCCAGAAACCTGTCAGATGCAACATAGTGTATTATAGTCTAAACACAGAATTGGGACTTGATAGTTCAATAGTGACTACATTTGATAGGATTAAAAATTTGACATCTGCAAGGATACACTGAACCAGATTAACTAAAGATGTATTCTAAAGTTGTGAGGGTTCTGGTTCAAGAACCAATATAAAATCCTTTTTAAGTCACGAGCAGAATGATTCTTCAGAGAAGAATAGTATGCCTTATGAAAGTTAAAAGGGTTTCTATTGGTTCTAATACTTGGTGTTGAAACCCCCTAGAGCATAGTGACAAAATGTTTTTGTGATGTTTAGGAGGCCTCTGTTGAGGATATAAATAGTTAAACTGAATAACTTTGAAAACTGATATTTAAATGCCAGAATGTTCAAAATTCTAGTTTGTTGTTGGAATGATAAGCTTAAAGTGCTTATGAGATTTTAATTGCCTTTTTTCTCAATCTATGCATCTATAGTATTCAAAAATAGTGTTCATGGTAGGTCCATTCAATGGCGTCACTATGAGGTGTGCATTAAGACCTTGATGGCTATGAGAGCCAGTTTGGTGTAGTGGTTAAGAGCAGTGGACTCTAATCTTCTCCACTCCTCCACATGAAGCCAGCTGGGTGACCGTGGGTCAGTCATAGTTCTCTCAGAGCTGTTCTCTCAAGAGCTGTTCTCTTAGAGTTCTCTCAGCCCCACCTACCTCACAGAGTGTTTGTTGCGGGGAGAGGAAGGGAAGATGATTGTAAGCCACTCTGAGACTCCGAGTGAAGGGCGGGGTATAAATCCAACTCCTTGTGGTAGAAATTCTGAAAATATAATTGCTTGGTAAAGATTTCCCAAGTAGTGTGAAATATAAGTTCAGTGTGTAAATTCTATTTCATAGAAATAAGGGGGGAAAGCCCCAGTTATGTTACAGATAAAAACATAGTTGCAGAATCATTGCAATGTAGATAAAATTGAACTGGACTGGTACAGGACTTAGAGCTTTTTCTAATGTCGGAATGGAATACGGTGGGAATCACTGGGATAAAATCTGTAGTAACTGTATCATTTCGCATAGGACTGCCTATGAGAAATGTTCTGCTCTGCTCAAAATGCTGCAGTATACTAAATTTCTTGCACTATGACAAAAGTTCCACTCTTATCTTTTTTGATATGTATGTTTATCTACAGCTATATTCCTTGTATATGAATTGCAAAGATATTAGCTTTAAGTTAGGGTGGCTAATGCAGCAAAAATTGTGTCGGAGTAACTGATATTATTGTTAGGTGTAATAGTTTTTCAGGACTTTTCAGCAGTTTATCAATAACATTGCTTGTATTCTTAATCTTAAAAGTGTCTATAATATTTATTGAACTTATTTCAGCTACAACTCCATGGTTTGAGGCTTATCGAGAGAGCTTTCTTCAGTCTATGCCAGCATCGGACCATGAATTTCTGAACCACTATGTAGCCTGTATCCTTTGAAACTGAAAGTGTTCAGGATCATAATATAAGATGCAAAATGAAGTTGCAGCTCTTTCTAGCCAAAGTTTTGATAGGTACCTTGTGAAAATGCCAGGAGACTGCAACAAAATTCTCTTTGTCAAAATCTTCATTTGAGGCATTAATCTGGAATAAGGCACTGCTATAATTCTTCAGGTTGTTTTGTAATCTGTAACTATTTGCTGCATACTCCTGATCATGTGGTTTTTAATAGCTACTTGGTTAGACAACTTAATTCTACTTTTAAAATTAAACTTGTTGCTAAGGATTGTAGAAAAGTTAGCATAATCTTCTGCTTTGAAATGGCATCCTTTTTGTGAGAACTTGTAAATATGTTGTAGGTAGTTTCACATACCGCTAACACAGCAATCTGACAATGATGTGACCTCATATGTCTTTCACAACATCACGTTTTTGCAGTATTCACCTTGGGTTAGCTGCCATCTATTCAAGCTGTGTGCTAGAGATAGAGTGCAGTTAACCCTGTAGCAGATTGTTTACTTCATATAAACAGTGTCTAGCTATTGCTTAGAGGTAAGTCTACCAGCTTTTGAAACAAATACTATAGTGGTAGCGTCATCTAAGAGATACGGTACACACATTAGCCTTTAGTTAACTTGTACACTTGTGGCACATCCTTAATGTCAATTCAGGTATGCTTGTCGTGTCATCTAGTGAACCAGAACCTGTGGAACAGTTTCTAAAATTATCACAAGAACAGCATCGAATTCAACATAGTAATGAATATTCTTATCCGAAATGGTTTATTCCAAACACACTCAAATATTATGTGTTGTTGCATGATGTGAGTGTAGGGGAGGAACAAAGGTGAGTATGGTTGACTAAAGTTTAACAAGTTTTATGAAATGCTTCTTCTGAATTTGCTGATATGGAGGCTGAATCCAAAGGTGGTTTCCAGCCAGTGGAAGGGGGGAAGCTAATTTTCACTGAATCCTTTCCCACTGCAGACCTCCAGTTTGCTGCCTACACTGTTCCCAAGTGTTCTCTGCTCCCCCACCTTGAGCACCATTTTGAGAAGCCCAGTGGGTTGCAGCAGAAGGGGGGAACTTGATGACCCCCCCTCACTTGTGGAAAGTACTGGAAGTGAGTTATGCCTGAGGAAGACATTTGGATTCAACCCACTATTTGTATATACAGTTTAACATGATTTTGTGGAATCTATTTACAATGGTAATAGAGATGTACATTTTTGCCTTAAATGAGTTTGTCATAACAGAAATCACCAATGGTAGGACTACACTACCATAAGCAGTTTGAAGGAGAAAGCAGATGGGTTTGTCAGTGTTTTAAATTTAAATTGGATAGCATGGACTTGGAAAGAATGAAAAGCATGGTGTCTCTGCCTCATATTAAGAACCTCCTTAGTTCAGGAGGGGTTAAAAGCATTGTTTTTCCTGGAGTATTCCAAGTCAGTCTTTGAGTTCCTTTATTTTAGTAAGCAAGATAAAAATGTGATTTATAATAAATGGGCTGCATTCAGACATCACAAGCAAACTTCTGACAGGTGTAAACTTGTTGCTGTGCTTATATCTGCTGTTTTATCTGAAAAAATAGCACATGATTGAAGGATTGAATTATAACTGGTTTGTTGTTGTCATTTCATCCTTATCTCTCTTCTGGTTCCTTGCATTGGTTTCCTCTTATATGCACTTGAGGTTTTTCTAGGTGATGGTTTGTTAATGTGATTACAGACATCATATATCTCCTATCTCTCTCTCTTTCGTTGGTTGTGGAGTGCTTTTTCTTTTATATGATCCCTGGAACTTCTTTCTCCTTCTACTTAAGTGTGTAGTAATTTTTTCATGTTTTCCTGATGATATATTTTCTTTTTCAATTTGGCATTGTTTCAACACCTCTTTTTTCTTTCATCCTATTCTATTCCCCTCTGTTAAGCATATAACAATATATTTTCTGTAAGTGAACTTATTCATGTGTGAATTTGTAGTACACTTCCTAATTACCTAACTTTGTGTGACATGTAATTCAGTTCAATTGGAGTAACTGGTTATGCTCTATTTTTGCATTAGTAGTTTCATATTTATGTATCCTGAGCCCCCATCTTGCCTTCAGCCAGTTTCTGTTCATTCCATGTTTCTTGTGTTTCATTATTTAGTCTTCTTAAGTAGTGTAAGCCAGGGATGGACAAATGTAGATATAAATCACCATTGGCCATTTTTGATGGACCATCTAGTGCCTATTCATAGTTGGGTTTCCCGAAAAAATGCTGGTTAAATCTTGATTTGATCCAGCAGTATGCTTATGTTGTTAAACAAGAGTGCATATTCAAAATCATAGCGAGTGAGTAATTTCTTAACGTTTGAGAGACTCTGTATGCACTATTGTTTTGTAATGCAAAGTACATTGGTATACCTTGGCTGTTAGACCATATACAAATCTGAAGACAGCCCACCTCGATACTAGTAGTAGTTTCTGGCAGTTTATGTATTACTGTCTGCTATCCAGTCTACTTACTGTATTACTTTTGAGAAGGGAGTTTTCCTTGAAACTTTGCTCTGTTAGCTGTCAATAACTAATATCTTCCATATATAGTGTATATCTATTAAAATACTCTTATAAAGATGAAGCCGAATTTCCCAAACTTGTACACATGAGAATATGACTGCCATATTTAACACTTTTAGGGCTGATTCAATTTATGAAGAAATGAAGCAAAGATATGGGACTCAGGGATGCTACTTACTTAAGATAAATTCTCGGGGGTCTAACAGAGGAGCAGATGAACAGATTCCTGATCCTTGGAGTCAGTATCTTCAGAAAAGCAATATCCAAGTCCAGGTATATTTTCTGTCTCATGTTAAAGATTCTCTTTTTTTCACCTGTTGTCGTGTTTTTTCTCATTTTGTTTTCTTTAATAAATTACTTTGCCCTGGGGCTGGTGGTATGAAATCCCTCCTCCATTACTGCTATCTAGTGCTAGTAGTTTTTAGATGATTGCTTGGGAAAGCAGTTCTACCTACTAATTAAAGTCACATGTTTTAATTTTCTTTATTTGGCTTTCTTTTTATAACGTGATTAATGGCAGCTGATACCTTTGAAAAGTGGAGCTGCTAAAATTCTCCTTCATTCTGCTAAGCTACTCCTTCTGTATCTTCTCTAGATTACACCAACCCAAAGCTTTTCTTACTTGAACAGCCTGCTGGATCAGACCAGTGTATTGTTTCACGGGGCAGCCAACCAGTTGCCCCGGAGGGCCAAACAAATGGGGCATACAAGCCAAGGCTCTCTTCCCTGCCGCTGCCTCCCAGCACTATTATTCAGACATTTGCTGCTTCTATAGATGGAGGCTCCCTTCAGTCACCATGGCTAGTAACCATTGATGGACCTGTCCTCCATGAATCTGTCAACTCCCCTTCTAAAGTGATCTCTGCCCATGAAAGACCCTCGACCAGTGTGAACACTAGATGCTGGTGCAGAGAAGGAGTTTGAGGACTCAAAGGCATAAAATGACTAAGTTCTGATTCCTGCACAGGCTTGTAGCATAAAAAAAAAGTTTGTGGGTGGTGGGAAATGCTGATCCAGAGCTTAGGAAGGCTGCACACTTCACTTCTTTTTTTGAAGGTTTAAGGCCAGTGTATGCAAGACTCTGGATTGTCCCAAGTTTGAACAGAAAGTAGACTGTAAGGTGAAAATGCTGCTAAAAATGTAATGTTGAATGTAATATACTGTAAAAATGTAATATCCAAAGAATATCATGTTCATAAGATCACTGTGGCAACTATTTCAGCCACAACTCTTAATCTGTGTTGACGTACATATTAGTGATCTTGTGTATTTGGTGACTGCTACAGCACTTGCATAAATATGATGGAATGTGTAAAAACTGAATCCTTGGGGAAATTCCATTACCTATTGACAGCATTTATGTAAAGCAGTACAGCCAAAAATCCCAAATTTCAGTACTGGTGGCAGTATGTGGACATAATTTCAGTCCTTTAGCTCATCATCATAATTCAGAGAGAGATAGCATTTGGGATTTGCATCTGTGTGCTTTCAGAACAATACCATATTTTCATGGATATTATATAAACTATGCCAAATGTGGAGTTATATCTGTTGCACAAATGCACCAACTTCCACTAGAAGTTCTTTTTCAATTCCTGTTGGACAGCTGTATTGTTAAAGGCTTATATGAAAGGTTCAGTCACATTGATCCTTATTTAATCAAGTAATTTCTCCTGCCTTTACAGGCACATTACAATTTTTCAGACTAGCTAAAGGCTATTTGCCTTCCTTTTACCATTCAAAACTAATTCTTTCTGTAAACTTCTGGGTGCTTTATAAAGAAGCATAGCCTGGGTCCCTTTCTAAAGTAGATCTCTACTTGACTATTCAGCATAGTCTTTTTATTCTTCTTCCTTATCAGTGCCTAAGAATCTACAAAGTACTAGCTCCTTGGGCAGGCTGTGTGATGCCCACTATCTATCTAAATTTTAAATACTGACCTAGAATTTTAATGAGCATCAGATTCAGTTTTCTTTATAAAATATACCGTATTTAGAATATATTCAGTAGGATATATAGAATGTTTAAATGAAGTTACAGATATGTTGTTGAAGGCCTTCACGGCCAGAGTTCATTAGTTGTTGTAGATTCTTCGGGCTGTATGGCTGTGGTCTTGGCGTTGTAGTACCTGACATTTCACCATCAGCTGTGACTGGCATCCTGAGAGGTATAACACAGAAAGATGGAGTACTTTCTGTGTCAGTGTGAGAAGAAAAATGGTAGGCAGGTAATTTATATCTACTCAGGAAGGTGGGGTAGGGCTGAGTCATTATCTTGTAGGAGTTTCCCAGGCTGTGACATGCTAATGGAGGAGCTTTCCTGAGGAGGTTCTTTTGCATATGGTTTGGCTGTTGAAATTCTAATCTTACCTGTAGTGCTGTTGTAAGATGTAGAGCATTTTGTGTTTTTCAGGACAGGAAACCATGCCCTATTTATTTTTAAACTCTCTTCTTTCCAGTTGAAATTTTGTTTATGTTTATGAATTTCAATGGCTTCCTTGTGTAATCTGACATGGTAATTGGATATATTGTCCAGCATTTCAGTGTCTTGGAATAAGATACTGTGTCCTGTTTGAGTTAGGCTATGTTCAGCCACTGCTGATTTTTCAGGTTGGCCAAGTCTGCAGTGTCTTTCATGTTCTTTTATTTGTGTCTGGATGCTACGCTGTGTGCTCCTGATGTAAACCTGTTCACAACTGCAGGGTATGCAGTATACTCCTGCAGAAGTGAGGGGGTCTCTTTTGCCGATCATAGCATCTGTTGTATTTTTCTGGTGTGTCTGAATAATGTTTGTAGGTTGTGTTTTTTCATAAGTTTTCCCAAAGACAAAAAGACAGAAGAGACCCCCTCACTTCACATTAGCATGTCACAGCCTGGGAAACTCTTACAATGACTCAGCCCTACCCCTACCCCACCTTCCTGAGTAGGTATAAATTACCTGCCTACCATTTTTCTACCACAACTAATGAAGTTACAGATACTTAAAATGTCATAATTGGGGCAGAAGTCCTTTGGAAAGACATTCGTAATTACAAACATTTCTAATATAGGGGAGCGGTGGCACAGGGGATTTATCCTCTGGTTAATACATCTGAGCTGAACAGAGCTGCTGTCAGTTCTAGCCCCTTGCTGGTGTGAGCTACCAGCCTTGTCCCCAGCTCGCCGTCCACCCAGCGGTTCGAAAGCTTTGGCTAGTAGATAAAATGGGTACCACTCCTTAGAGAAGGTGGGCACACTAACCCCCCCGGTGGGGGAGGTGTTAGCCGACGAATGGAATGTCCAGCGCATAAGACTGAAAAGCCTAGAAAGAACTCCTCAGCATCCAGGAAGCCTGTAATGGGCTGTCCGGCCAGGTGGTGGCAGTGCTGCGCTGCAACTTGAAGCAGTCCGGAGAAAGCTGATGACATCAAGCTACGCCGAGGGAAAAATGCCGTTGGAACACGTCTGACTTACAGCTGAACAAAACTCCCCGTCAGCTGTGAACATGTGTGATTTAAAGATTATATGTTATCCCCCCTTACCCCTTGAATCATTGTTAGTCCCGTGTGTAATGGAGTAACTGTAAATCGCTCAGAGCCAGCAAGCTCTGCAGGATTGAGCGATTAATAAATTGGAAGATTTATTTATGTTTTATTTATTTTAATATTTTAGAAAGCTGAAGTTCTGTTTCTTGTTGCATTTTATCCTGACAGGAATCTTGTGAGGATAGCTCTTATACAGTAATTTCAAATAAGAATACAGATCACTTTATACCACTGGATGATTTAGGAAATGATTCCAAAGGTATGTTTCTTTTTATAACAATTTAGCTTTTAAAGTCAAAATCATTTGAATGCCAGACCTCTCACCTTAATCTTGCTATTGGTGTAGTGGTTAAGTGCGTGGACTCTAATCTGGGAGAACCGGGTTTGATTCCCCACTCCTCCACTTGCACCTGCTGGATGACCTTGGGCAAGCCATAGTTCTGATAAGAGCTGTCCTTGAAAAAAGAGCAGTTTCTGTCAGAGCTCTCTCAGCCCCACCTACCTCACAGGGTGTCTATTGTGGGGAGGGGAAGGGAAAGGAGTTTGTTAAGCTGCTCTGAGACTCCCTTGGGTAGTGAAGGGCGGGGTATAAATCCAATCTTCTTCTTCTATGACTTTATCAAGCTATAAGTGTAACTGGCATAAAACGTGATTAAAAGCTTGAACTATTAGCTGGAAGCCATTGATTTTGAATCTCAACTCGGCCGCAATCTCGTTACAAGGCCACTGTGTCTCAGCATCAGGCCCCAAAAGTAATATGGCTTTAAATAGTGTAAATCCTGGCCTGTTTTACATGGCTGTTGGCCTGAATCTTTTGTCTCTTCTCTTATAAGTGAAAAAAACCTTCTGCCGCCACAGGGAGCCTTCTACCACTTGAACAAGCTCCCTCATTTAGTGGAAGGCAGCTGTAGGATCCAGTTCATTGTAAGGATTACTGAGGTGTTATATATGAAATACTTTGAGCTTTTAGAAAAGTAGTAATTATTACTTGTTGGACTGCTGGCTCCATAAGAAATTACTGAAGATCTTGTGCTCCAGCAGAGCTATCTATTCAAGGAACCTTTTGCTTTCCCCTGAAGTTGTATTCTGTGGTCAAGAGTTGTAGTAATCAGTGCCCTTCCAGCTCATGTGAATGCCCAGGCTATGTGTTCTGATCTGCTTTTGATCTTATATCATGATTATCAAATAAGATGCAAAATGAGGCTGTGTGCTTTATAAAAATATAAAAAGTTGAGCAAAAATTGAAGAAATACAGTCATTGGAAGAAGCTTTGCTACTTTCCAAATTTGGTGTGACTGTGGGAAGAAGTTACTGCCCTTCTTGTAAGCTGTTCTTGCTGGATCAAAACATACGGTCACTGTTAGTGATCTGGCAAGTTGCTAGACATAAAGGTATGGTTATGTTGCTAGATATAAAGCCAAAACATCAAAGTATAAGGGTTTATTATAGTAGTGGGATATAGTATTCCTTTTATAGAAATAGACGCACAAATACTGTGATCTTAAACTTCAGAAGTGTGATTAATAGTACATTTAAGTGACGTTAGGGAATAACCCGAGTTCTCAAAATTGCTGCTACTTACTGTTCTTCTTGAATATATTATTCTGCTAATTTTCTCATTAACACCTCCTGACTGAGAGTCCTGTTGAATTTCTTGTCAGTTGATAGTCTCTATTGATAGATTAACTTGAGAAGTTCCAACATGGGCAAAGAGAGTTTCAGTACATTGAAGCTGTAGTGACATAATGGTGACCAGGTAGGCTAGGGAGGCTGGCAACCTGACAGGTAGCGGCAACTGGCTCAGTTATCCCATTGGTTCATTTGTATCCATTTTACAGTGTCAGTGGCTGTAAGTTGGCAGTAGTTGTGTTTACAAGTCTAGATAGTTAATATTTCTCTATAGATAAGGAAGCATCTTCTTATTTTTTAGTTTGGTATTAGTTTTTGAGTCGTATCATTTAGAGGGAAGTGATCGGAGTAGAGCATTTTATATGCAAGGTATGAAATACCTGTAGTATAAGAGCTGGGATTGGATCCAAAGAGCCATGAGTTAGAGTTCTGCTGGCAGAACATATCCTTCTTACGTCCTCCTATGTAAAAACAAACAAACTGGTCTTGAAGGATAGAGGACCCTTGGGAAGAGTATAGGTTGTGGTGTGGTGAACTGAGCCCAACTGCACAGTCCATGAAAATAGTGGCTCAGCCCTTCAGGGAAAAGAGCAAGAGTCCAGTAGCACCTTAAGACTGACAAAATTTGTGCCAGGGTATGAACTTTCATGGGTCAGTGCTCACTTCTTTAAGGTACTACTGGTCTTTAAGGTGCTACTGGACTCTTGCTCTTTTCTGCTGCTACAGATAGACTAATATCGATCTTCGACGTGGTCTCTCTGCTTCACACCCATGGGATCTAGTGCGCATGCGCTGGATCGATCGGCATTGTAGCAAGCTCTTTAACAGATTTTTGCGCCCAGTCCCTCGGAAAGGAAACCCTTTGAGCCACTTGCGAACTGAAATTCCTGTCTTGGAAGATGGCCTTTCCCCACCGCACATGCCCAGAGGGATGGGCGCGGACATCCCGCCGGTTCCTTCGAACCGCCGCAAATCAACCCCTATGGAAAATGTAGAAGCTGACAGCAGCGGGGGAGGAGGGTGGGTGGTGTGAATACACAGATGACCACTCGAAGATCATCAGTTACTGGTAAACAACCTCTTTATCTTCGACGTGGTCTCTGTGCTTCACACCCATGGGAGATTAGCGAGCAGTGGCCTACCTGGAGGAGGGTGCTGGCAGGTCCTTACTGCGTCGCTGAAGATAGAATGTGACGTCCCATTTTGGTATTAGAGTTCTTACGGATGTCTAGGGCATAGTGCCTCATAAAGGTGTTAGGCGTGGCCCAGGTAGCAGCCTTGCAGATGTTCGGCAGGGGTACTCCCTGGAGGAAGGCAGTGGAAGCTGCATCAGCCCGGGTTGAATGGGTCTTGATGGGGCCAGGCAACGGCTGCTTTGCAATCAAGTAGCAGAGGTGGATGAGACCCGCAATCCACTTTGAGAGGCATTGAGCCATGATGCGAGTCCCCAGCCTCGCTGGTGCGTATGAGACGAACAGTTGGGAGTCACGTCTCGTTGGGCGGGTTCTGTTGAGGTAGAACAGAAGGGCCCTTTTGACATCCAAGGTATGTAACAGTCTCTCCTCTGGGGATTTCGGAGCTGGAAAGAAATCCGGGAGAAAGACCTCTGCCTGTAGGTGGAACTCTGACACTACCTTTGGCAGGAACGAAATGTCAGGGACAAGGCGGACTCCGTGTGGCAAGAATGACAAATAAGGCGTGTCATGCCGGAAAGCCAGTATTTCTCCAACTCGCCTTGCAGAGGTGATGGCCACCAGAAGTCTTCCAAGACAGGAATTTCAGTTCGCAAGTGGCTCAAAGGGTTTCTTTTCCGAGAGACTGGGCGCGAAAATCCGTTAAAGAGCTTGCTACAATGCCGATCGATCCAGCGCGTGCGCACTAGATCCCATGGGTGTGAATGCACAGATGACCACTCAAAGATCATCAGTTACAGGTAAGCAACCTGTTTTTACTCATCTTGATCCTTCGGTGAGTGGAAGGACATCTTTGGGTCCAGCCTAAGTTTTCTTAGAAGTAGTAGTTCCTGTTATCAGTGTTCAGTTCAATATGTAATGGTTTGCAAAATTTGTTTTTCAGTAGATGGTTTGTCAAATAACTTTAAGACTCACCCACTCCAGTTGGATCACACTAGTGACAGTGGCTGCTTTGATGGCACTGATTATCTAAAATCAAATGCTTCACTGCATGAATCAAAGAAGTCAAACACTGGGACACCACACGGCATGTGTTTGACACTCACAGATCATGATCGAATTCGACAATTCATTCAGGAATTCACTTTTAGGGGACTTCTGCCACATATAGAGAAAACGATCAGGCAACTTAATGACCAGGTAAGTCTTTCTCCCTTTAAAATTGAGAGTTACCTTTTATGCCATCAGTAAACTCAAAAGAGATTCAGGTGCAGACCTTAGTATCCATAATACATATGCAGCCTATTCTTTTTTGTTTGATGCAAGGCCCACTGAGTTGAAGGCTACTGTTAAGTGTTAGAAACTCTAACTTGGATAGCCCAAGCTAGCCTGATTTGGTTAGATTTCAAAAGCTAAGCAGGGTCAGCCCTGGTTGGTATTTGGATGGGAGGCCAGTGTCATCATGCAAAGCCAGGCAGTGGCAAATCACCTCTGAACATCTTTTGCCTTGAAAACCCCCAGGGTTGCCATAAGTCAGCTGTGACTTGATGGCAACAAAAAAAGTGTGGTACTCAAGACCATTTTAACAATATTGGCATTTGGGGCTGGAATCCATATGGGTGTACATGCTATGCCATGTGTGCAGTGGGTCTGTCTGAGAGTGCATAGGATCTCAGCCTTTGCTCATGCTTATGTCTGGTGGATTAAAATCCTGCTATTCCTCTTTACAGAAACCATCATAAACCGTATTTATGATTCTGTGATAAAAATATTCTGTGCACACACAGTTCTCTAATATTTCAATCTGGTCTGAAATTATCTTGTTCAATTATATGGTCAGTTTGCAGGGGGGGGGTTTTAAAATCTTGTTGTATGCCACTTGTGCATCATCATAGTATTAATAAAGCATGCCTGCAATTGCTAGAGAAACCTAAAAAATATTAGTCCCTAAAGTCAGGCACTGTGAGTGATTAGTGACTGTATAAAGATTGGTGTATTATTCAGCATCAGGCTTGCTAATTAACTTCTGAGTGGTGGAAGACTAAACTCTGTGATGAAATTCTAAATTTCTAAATTTCATTTTAACAGTTTAAGATGTCTAGTTCACATGATATAGCTTGATATAAATGACTGACAGCTTCCTGGCAGAGTTCTTTGCAGTCATGTCAGTCCTAGTAGTGCTTTTTATTTTGTTGTCTTATATGTTTATTATAAACAGAGACATTTTCAGCTCAAAATTCAACTAATGAACAAATAAATTCACTGCCATTTTCTAATCCTATCCATTTTATATCCTGATCTCATGGCCTCAATTCAGATAGCAATGGGAAAGCACCTCCCCCTTCCATAGGCAGGGCCGGCAAACTTTGATCCCAGAGGGGAGGGGCTTATCCTCTGATCCCCAGTCTTACCGGCCCTGCCTTCTGAGCAGGATGTGCTGGCTGTGCTCTGAAGAGCACGAAGATCCCAGAAGACACTGGAAGGTCAGAAGAAGAAGCGGAGACCTAAAGGGCAATGGTAGAAAGTATTTACTTTCCAGCCCTAAAATATATTCGAGAGCTGCAGGCCTCGATTTACAATGAATCCGGCGCTGGCAGTCCTGGGAGGCCCCCAGGCGGTCACTGCGTCGAGAGGAACGCCTCGGACCCCGCTGGGAAGG